GGGGATTAACTGCCCATCGTAATCCAAAGCCATATCCAAAACCATACCCATACTCTGAGCTCCTCATCGTCTACCATGTAAATCCTTATCGTGCCATGAGGAGGAGAGGTAATCAGCAGTAGGGAGAATAGAAAACCAATTGATACACCCACCCTTTGAAACGCAAGATTTATGTCTGCCCTAACTTTCATAAAAAGCTTTATGAAGCAAGAGGAGGGGTAGTCAGAGCAGGCAAGAATACATGTGGCCTCTTCATCGGAAAAGGGGGAAAGAAATCCTAGCAAGACAGCCATGTGGCAGAACCCAACGAGTCGCACAAGGCACCCTAATGCGTCTTCCCAATGCGAACTCGTCGCACCTCAATGTCATACGTGCCACGTGGCAATCTAATATTACAATCTATTGTTGTAAAAAACCGCAAGGAGCTTCAGACAACGCAGATCGAACGCGCATGATCCTGCCCGCCACTCATATGCTATTACGCTGCCAAGCAAACTCCGTGGCCCCATTGTAGTTGACCACCCTTTATCCTTCCTATCCCACCCCCACTCGCGCAAATTCCACATTCGCAGAATCACGTGACCTTGGTCTTGTACCCGCAGACTGGAGTACAGTTTTGTGAGTATGTGCCATTCTTCTAGGCTTTAGCCATATAGCAGTGGTTCTACTTGAATCATGGAGGCGTTTTCTTTTAAGAGCACTGCCTCCTCTTTATTGTCTGCTCGACTCTGCTGTCTTAAGCCAAACCCGACACTCCGAGAAACCTACAGTCGTAGGTATAATTAGTTTGTCTGCCTTACATTGAGCAAGTGGCATATAGAGTAAACTCCTGCTTTCTTGTTACAGGCCTGAAGTTTGATACCTTGAGAGTTCAGGGTCTTCGACTCTTAGCACTTGACCAATGTGTGTGGGGTCCGGAATCCAAGTCCCTTGTCTGTGGTTCTCCGCCGAGAGAGAGAGAGTTAGCACTTGACCACTGTGTGTGGTGTCCAGAATCCAAGAGAAAAGATTACACGCAATGGACCCAAAATTTAGAAGAAGATGCCTTGGCCCTTGACCTTTAATATCATGGCTAAGCCATGATATTAAAGATGGCTTATAACACCTTCCCCTTTACCGTTCCATAACCTGTAGTTACGGAAACTCAATCCTTCCACTCAATACACCACTCAGATTGAGGATTCCTACTGTGCTCTGCTCTACTTAAATATTGTATTTCCTTGTCGGTAGAGTACGAAAAAAAAAAATTCACAGCGAAAAAATGAAAGAAAAAGAAAAATTAAAATAATATTGGATATGCTTTGAATGCTATCAAAAAGATTGTCCAGATGCTTATGAAAAAGCACACATTCGATGGTCCGTCCACCAGGTCGTACGGTCCAGGCGCCGTAGCAAATTTCCAGAAGGTACGCCCGTGAGTAACCGAAGGTCGTCTGATCCGAATCAGGACCATTTTGCCGACTTGGAAAATTCATTGTGGCCAATTTGTAATTGTGGTGCTGATATACTGGCGACAACCTCCACGGAGTCCGCCGATAACCCATTGGGCCCTTTGTTTCTGGTAGAAGTCGTCGTACTTTCGTTACCTGCTGAGTCGAAGAAACACAAGTCCATGGTCCCGCAGATCCGAGTGGATCGGATACTCCATTTTCATAGTACATATATTTTGTCGACAAGCTTCCAAAAAACATTCGCAAAGTACTGCTAGTGCAGAGAGTAGTCCTGGTACACTCGGTGCATAAACCCTGCATAAAGCCGTACAGTCGGGTGGGTAAAGTCCGTAATACATGCCCTACGACCGAACAAATGGTTCTCCAAAATTCTGTGGATTCGAAAAAACAAGTGTTGAGATTGAGGGCACGAGGGAACGTGTATGCCTCATGCTGAGCAACGGGCCTCCTTTTTTCAGAGCCTGCGTCATGGGGTTGTATCGGCACCCAACTCTTTGATGATTTCCTGGATCTGGCTCCAGAAGGGGTTGTTAAAATCTCCTCGTTGCATCCATCTGTGACCAGCTAAGATAATGTTGCTGGCGTACCCAAGCTTCTTGAGTTCTTACTGTCAATGTGAGGACACCAAGGCACATGGTGCCTCTGTCATTACAGTTCTCAGAGATACAAAGAATAGTATTTGCTATAGTTGCAAATTCGGTTGTTTTTGGCCCAAAAGAAGCTGGGCTTTTGTAAGTCTGGAAATGCAATTTCCCGGGTCCCAATATTGATTCACGGTTCTTAAATTTGTGAGAGACAACAACTGTTTTTTCGAATTCGGAGACGATTAGCCTTGTTTCCAAAAAATCAAGTAATCCAATTCCTGTGTCGGTTCGTTCCAAACTAAGTTCCTTGGGATAACACAGTTTAATCTTATCCAGGTGGTCTTTAGCCCTGATGTAACCTGTTGGGTCATTTTTATGAAAGAAGGAAAAGAGTAATAGATCATCTATGTATCTTTTTCCAATGATAAAGTTTGCATCAGTGCCAAGGGATTTGATACATACACATTACACATGCAAGTGAGGGACTAGCTCTCCCTCCCATTGGGATGCCTTTCTTCTGGCGTAGGATTGCATAAGATACTAAAAACACAGTGTGTTCCAGTTGGAACTTAGTTAGGGAGATCAGATCAGTAAGCGGGAAGGATTTCCAACCGGCTTCTCCGTGAGATTTCCTGAATGTTGTCAACTTCTTTCGAGTGTTCAGTCGGATCCACCGCACGCCTTTCTGAACAAAACACTCAATAATCCATTGGACTGCCCGATAAATAATCTCGTGCGGGAGTTGGACTGCCAGAATCCAAGTCCCTTGACTGTTGTCCTCCGCCGAGACAAAGAGGGTCTCACTCCACTACCATACACTCTCTGAATGTGGAGAGTTTGGCGTCGCTCCACTTACTCTCCACTATACACATGCGAAATTGCTCAGGTACTTGTCAGATACAGGTCGTAGATTGCACTCTCCATCGGTGTATAGTTCCCAGCGTCGCTCCACTTACTCTCCACTATACACATGCGGAATTGCTCGGATACTTGTCAGATACAGGTCGTAGATTGCACTCTCCATCGGTGTATAGTTCCCAGCATGCAAAAGTCGTTACTCGGATACTCCTCGAAGGAAACCACGGACCCGCCACGTTTTTGGATGGTGAACCTCGAGTCTGGACTGACAAATCTGACCGCTCGTCATTTTGCACTATCCACATGTGCCCAATATTGTCTGTTATAAACCAGTGCCGTACCCCCTTTCACCGTTCACGGGGTCTGTGGACGGAGACCGGTCATGGAGTTCACGGCGTTCACAACACGGGAGTTCATGGAGTTCACGGAGAGCGGTATTTTTTCTTCTTTTTTGTTTTTGGCTGGGGGGGTATGTTTTTTTTTTAATAGGAGGGTGGGGGACATCGAAGGGTAACTCCCTATAATTTTTATTTTTTTTTAATTCACGAATAATATTGTTTTTAATTAAAAACGAAAAAGAAAAATCAACCAGCTAAAATAAGCATTTTCGTTTGCTATTTTCTAGGTCATTTCAATTTTTTTATTTTTTTTTCAATGTCATCACACTGTGGGGCTTGAGGCGAATGTACCTGGGGGAGCCCAAAAAAAAAAAACACCACTCTTTAGTGGTCGGCCCGTTCACCATGAACGGCCGTTCACAAAAAAAACACCAAATGAACGGCCGGTCACGTTCACGGGTCCGGCACTGTTATAAACCACATTTTGGAGTCGAATTGGAGAGTTGTATACCGCTTCACCACAAAAGTCTTTACTCCGATACTCCTTGAAGGAAACCACCGACCCGCCACGTTTTTGGATGGTGAACCATGAGTCTGGACCGACAAATCTGACCGCTCGTAGTTTTGCACTATCCGCGTGCGGCGTGCGGCGTGCGCCCACTATTGTCCCCTATTAACCACTCTTTTTTTCTTTTTTTTTTTGTGGAGAAAATCAGGCATTTCATTCCAAATGAGGGGCAGGGGGCAGGGAAAACACCCCACAAATCAACCCGGTACACCACATGCTTGGGCCATTACCCAGCTATAGGCTTCTGGAAAGCGGGTCCAGTGTCCCTTTCCAAATGAATTCTCCAAAACTTAAAAAAGGTGAAGCCTCAATAGGGAGATTGTCTACTTTGTCATACGGACATAGAGTGAAGTTAAGGAGGGGAGCTAAAGCGCTCTCCATGACCAGGTGGGGGGGGAGAGGAGCCAGGGCGAAAAGCAAATCCTGCCTTCTGCAGTAAGCTTGCCTAATCTGGACTCTCTACCCCAGGTGTCCCAGAACAATTTTCTGACCCTATACGGGTTACCTCCATTGGACCTGCGGAGCCAATCACTACGAAGAGTGAGCCTGATTTGCTGAGTTACCGTGGGCCAAGTCCCACTTACCCTTATTCTTCATTTCGGGCCGTTGAGATTTCGGGTAAGTAGAAGTTGAGATTTCGGGTAAGTGGGACTTGGCCCCGTGATCTTGATAGCATTATCCGAGATGAAATTGCTTTTGCAAAGCTGATCATTTCCATCGTCCCCGATTATTTTCATTAAAATTGCACGAGTCACATACAGCCAGTTACAGGCCTTAGTGCTGGCCATATCATGAACCCCATTCAAGATCCAAGATCAAATCATCGGACCATACAAAAAAATTATCCTCTGTGAGTAGAAACCACATTTTGGAGTCGAATTGAAGAGTTGCATACCGCTCCACAACTGTCCCCTATAGTAACTATACAACCACATTTTGGAGACAAATTGGAGAGTTGTGTACGGGATAGTAAGTGGAGCTATGCCGCAGACTCCACGCTTTTTTTTTTTCTTTTCACTCTGACAGCTATGCACAAACTCTACTAAAATCTGTATAGCGGATAGTAGTGGAGCGAGACCCAGAGAGACATAACTTCACCCGAATGCCATCAATGCTTATGGGCCGCAAGAAAAGTCTGTATCGAAATGTGGAAAACGAGAAGTAGGGCCTCGCTTCGCTACTCTCGAAATGTGGAAAACGAGAGTGCATCTTCCGCTAGAACATGGCAAGATACATGGCCATCATTTTTGTCATTTGTGCATGTCGAGAGTAGTGGAGCGAGGCCCTTACATGGAGCGAAGTCCCTCCAATGCGGCGAGTCATGGAGCGTGGCTGTTGTCGAGCGCCGAACGCTCAAGATCAGGCAGCAGCCATCACCCAGTTCCCCAGCTGCTGGCGTTGGCCTGTCTGCTCCCGCTTCGCAGTGTTTGCTTTCTTGCCACAGAGCATCATGGTTATGACGGCGAGGAGATGAGAGATCGACAGGGGGAAGTAAACTACTCGGATGCTCGTCTTCCTGAAGAAGTTGATCAGGATGAGACTCAGGAGGTCACAGTGGCTATGGATCATCCTGGCAGCTGTCTTCTGCTCATTGCTGTTCGTACCGACCATTCTCGAGGTAGCGGCTGCGTCAGCAGTGGACACTTTGAGGAAGGTAGAACAGCTGGACACATTGTCCAGGAGCTGGACAGGGGGCGCGATCGAGGAGGTTCGAACGCAGTACGCTGCTCCAATTGCCCAGTGGATAGTGAACATCGTGCTTGCGCTTGCGTTGGCCACGTGTATCGATATGCTTTCGATGACGTTTGCCGCTTTCTGCCTGCAGCTCTCGGGATGGAAAGAGGCAATGCCGCTCTCCAGAGACTCCTAGACGAGTGTGGAAGAGAGGAGGACGTCCGTCTCCTTCCCGCATTGTTCGGAAGGAGCCGAACTTGGGGGAGGAGAAGGCTGTCATGGGGGGCATGCTGTGGCTGACGGGGGGACGGAAAGCAGCGGACAGGATGGTCACGATCCGGAGGTAGAGCGGCAGCTATTGAGCGAGAGGGAGCGATGGTTTCCGAAAGTGCTGGTGCAGATTGTCATGTATAATGAGCGGGAATGCTACAAGCTGTCCATCGGAGCCTGTGCGCGACTGGATTGGCCGCGCGATCGGCTGCTCGTCCAGGTGCTGGACGATTCCGACGAAGAGGAGATGAAATCTCTAGTGCACGAGGAGGTAGAGCGATGGGTGAAGGAGGAGGGTGTCAAAATGGTCGTGAATAGGCGTGCTGACATAAGCGGCTTCAAGGGGGGTAACCTCAAGAGCGGGTTTGAGGCGCCTTACACGAAGGAGTACGAGTTCATTGCCGTGTTCGACGCTGATTTCCAACCCGAACCGGACTTCCTGGCGTGTACTATTCCGTTTTTCCGCGACGATCCCAAGGTGGCATTGGTTCAGGCTCGGTGGGCTTTCAACAACTCCTACCAGAACATTTTGACGCGGACACAGCTGATCGACTTGTCCTACCACTTCGCAGTCGAGCAGCAGGTCCAGGCAGCGACGGGGCTTTTCTTCCAATTCAACGGCACGGCGGGCGTGAGGAGAAGGTCGGCCATCGTCGACGCAGGGGGGTGGTTGACTCGCACCATAGTGGAGGACATGGACTCGTCCTTCCGAGCGTTCTTGCGCGGGTGGAGGTTCAAGTACCTAGACCAGGTGCGCGTAGTGTCGGAGAACCCCACGAGCGTCCGTGTGTACTCTCGCCAGCAGCACCGCTGGTCTGCCGGACCTGCACGCTTGCTAGTCCTGGTCTTCGCGGATATCCTCCGCTGCAAGCATCTGTCCTTCTCCAGCAAGTTTCACATGCTGGTGATGCTCATGTTCTTCCGGAAAATCGTTCCTGCCATCGTCGGAACTGCGCTGGCTTTCCTCGTACTCCCGCTCTTCGCACTAATCCCTGAGCTTGTCCTTACTCTGCCCATCGCTCTCGTCGCCATCTGTCTCGGGGCAGTCGTTGCTCGGATACTGTCTGGGCGTCAGCAATCGCTTCTTGCGTGTCTTCTCATCGTGGCTCCTTACATTTGGGTCGCGAGTTCCGTCGCTGTGACGAGAGCAATTGGCTGCGTGCAGGGACTGTTGGACCGACCCGAGGCTAGCGATTGGATTGTTACGGAGAAGACGGGAGTGCGAGGGGGGCACGAAGAGTGTGACGATGATGAAGAAGACGGAGAAGAAGCAGGAGGAGAAGTAGAGGGGGACAAAGCTGTAGGAGGGCGGGGAGTCGGATGAGAAGAAGAAGATACTACTCTTTCTTGCGACGGATGTGACTCGAGGTTTGACGATTCATCAGCTGCGCCAGCAAGTGAGGACGTCGAGAGCGGACAATGCCATGCGGAAGATAAAATGGGCGTCGGGCCACGCCCTCCTCCGCCGTCCAGCGCAGGTCGCCCTCGGCGGAAGAAGAAGAAGAGGACGATTTTGAAGGCCCAATTGTTTCTGGCGTTATTGATGCTGTCGAGTTGCATTCCTGCCTTCCTGTCCGCCCGTGCGCTCTTTTATTACATCGTCTTTCAAGGCCTGGTCACGCTAGCCTTCGCATGCAGCTTTCTTGGCGATGGCTAATTCTCGAATTTCTTGATGATGAGGATTAGCAGTAGGATCTGCATAATTATGACGAGGTGGAAGGTTTAATTATTTGACCGAGACATGAATGCAGATTGGCGCTGGACTCTAGAGTAGCATCAGCACCCGAATAGAACGCCCGAGCACTATTGCGGTATTGGGGACAGAAAGTTCGCCCAACGGCAGCTCTAATGACCGGGCGTTATATTCGAGTGAAGATGTCAGGAAAAGGCCTTCGGAGAGAGAGTGACCGAGGGAGACTGCGTGACTGAACTGTCATTGTCTGTCAAGCAGTCTCCCTCGCTCACTCTCTCTCCTAAGGCCTCATTTTCTCAGCAATGCGTTCTATTCGACTTCAGGATTTTCAAACTACGGGCAAATTTGCATGTTTCTAGTTGATGCGCATACGTGGGGAGACCGAAAGGGCCAGGACAACAGGGTCGGGCAGTGGGAAAGTCCAGCGTGATGAAGCGAGCACGGAACAGAAAACCATTGACTAGATATCTTCGACAATCGGATGGAACTGATCCATAGACGTGGTCTCGATTCGCGTCGCTGCTCACGTCACACCTGTGACCCGTGGCTTGAGGATTAGTTCGATTATCCGCACGCTTGAGGAATCCCTTGATATCGCCGATACCATTGGCATTGAGCGATTTGAGTATTCGGCAGTGACGGGAGCTTGGCTAGAACTTTGAGTAGCAACGTTTTTTCTTACGACAGACGACTGAGACGAGGTACTAGAAAGGCTTTGAGCGTGCATGTTCATTTGCTGTTCTCGACAAGCAATGAGCGGTTGTTTTTGCGAGAAGCGTGCGAGTTTTTTAGATCTCTTTCTTCATGGGTTCGTCCTTTCCTTCTCTGCATCAACGCCTTTCTTCTTGCTCTTCTTCTTCTTCTTCTTCTTCTTCTTCTTCTTCTTCTTTTGCTGCTGCTGCTGCTACTGCTGCTGCTGCTGCTGCTCTTCTTCTTCTGCTTCTTCTGCTTCTTCTGCTGCTGCTGCTATTTCGTCGTTGTCTTCTTCTTCTTCTTCTTCTTCTTCTTCTTCACCTGTCCATGTGATTCAATCTGCGTTCTTGTTGAGCACGGCTCGTGAACATTACCTGATTCTGTCGTGCTGCTATGCCACTTTCCTCAAGCATACCAGTTAAGGGCAGTAACTGGTGGACGCACTGGACGGTTTTACGGTTTCGTGGGCTTGCCGTCCACAGTGATGGATGCTTGCGCACTCTCAAATCCAGAGATTGATTCTCGAATCCTAGACGGCTGACTGACCTTCGGAGCGGCTTTTGTTTCCTGACCGTACATACTACATTGTTCTTTGGTATCACGCTCTACTTTCAGAAATCCGACACGGGAAGTATTGGGTTTTTGTAGTGTAACAACAAGAATTCCCTAAGGAGATAGATATATTATATGGGTTAATTTACAAAAATATTGCTTTGTCTAAGTTCCACAGGAAAGACATAGTCCGGTGGAAGTTTCCTTCGCAAAAATATATATTTCATTGCAGCTTCACCGGGCTCCCGCAGTTTCCAAGCAAAAATATTGCACGCCGCATAGTTTCCCAGCGCAGGACTCGTCAGCCTCCGGCCCCAGGTACTCAGGGACTCAGCCCTGAGGCCAGAGCCATAGGTCCGGTTACGGCACGGGCTCGTAACAAAAAGCCTGTCCCTCACGATTTTTCTTTTTGATTGATTTTTTTGGCTGCACGCTGGCTGGCGGGTAGACATTCAACAAAAAGCGAAAAAAAGAAAAAAGGAAAAAAAAGAGTGAGGATACCTTCCCGGAAGCACCATGAAAACTGGGAGTGAGAGAGAGAAAGGAGGACAGAGGCAGACAGAGAGAGACAGAGAGACGAGAGAGAGAGACAGAGAACACACGTGGCGGCACATGCTGCATGCTACGAATCCCCCTCGGCGGCCGCCATCCGACGCCTAGGCCACGACCCGTGGAGGTGGCCGAGGGGCGGCCGCATGGTTGCCAGTGGGGAGTGGGGGTTGGGATTTGGGAACAGCCATGGGGCCAGTGGGGAGGGGGGTTTGGGAAGCGCCATGGGGCGGTGCAACCCCAGCCCCACCCACTCAAAAAAAAAAAAAAAAAAAAAAAAAAAAAAAGGGTGGGGGGGTTTGGGTGAGTGAAGGTATTTCAAAAAAAATAAAAATAAAAAAAACAGCACTTTTTTTTTTTTTTTTTTCCGTTGATTGATGGATTGATTGATTGGCCCCACAGGCGCACACACACACACACAGAGGTAGGATTGCATATTTCCATGTTCTAGCGGAAGATTCATTCGATTTTGCTTTTTTCTTTTTTCGTTGATTGATTGATTGATTGATTGATTGATTGATTGACTGATTGATTGATTGATTGGTGGGGGCGGGGTCGCCCCCCCACCCCCAACAGGCCCACACACACACACACACAGAGGAAGTATTGTAAATTTCCATGTTCCAGCGGAAGATTCATTGGATTTTGCCTTTTTTTTCTTTTCGTTGATTGATTGATTGATTGAGTGGTGGGGGAGGGGCGTATATTTCCATGTTGTAGCGGAAGATTCATTGGATTTTGCTTTTTTTTTATTTTCGTTGATTGATTGATTGATTGATTGATTGAGTGGTGGGGGAGGGGTCGCCCCACCCCCCCGCCACCCACCACTCGCGTGCACACATGTCACAGACACACACACACACACTCACACATCACAATCCGGCGGGGGAAGGCGCAGCACAGCACACACACACACACACTTAACTGTTCTTTCTCTCTCTCTCTCTCTCCCTCTCTCTCTCTCTCTCTCTCTCTCTCTCTCTCTCT